TATAACACCTGTACACAAAACTGAACCAAAGCTATTAAAGGCGCAGAGCAAACTTCCATACCTGTCAACTGACCAGTATCCTGTGGGTGTTCCATAAATTTTACCTTTCACCCGGGATTTTTTTAATACTCGCCGGGTCGTAAAATAACCCGGGAATTCGGAAAATGATCCGTTTTCACCCGGATTCTTGAGCTTTAGACTGATTTCATAAGTGATTTTCCTTTGAAATACCGGCAAATTCGTAATTCTTCCTGGACAGGAAGTTCAACCAACTGTGTTAACTGTCAAATTAAGTGACCCATTAAGTGCCTGGCTTCACTTGACAGCTTTGGTGTCAAACACACTGTTAATTAACACCAATTACCTTAGCTTAAGGTCATAGATAATTTGTGTATTTGAAAATTGCATAGTTGATTTATGTAAAAAGGAATGTTCACACCAGTGTTTTTGAATTAGGAATGATTACACTCGTGATTTTGTACCGGAATGATTGCACAGTTATTTTATACCCGGCGGGATTAATTTACACTAGTGCTTTAGATCCATTCATTGATGAAGTGATTAGTACTCATTTTGAACACACGATAACACAATAATGCTTAATTATTAACGAATGAGATTTAAATAATTTTTCTATGCAAATCTATTTAAATCATATGCTTTTAAATTGTCACTAATTGTAATATTTATATTTATTGGATTGCCGAAGTTTTTCTATGTATTTGCTTTTCGGTCGACTTGGATATTAAATCATATCTTCTATGTCAATATCAAAGGATGCTTCTGTAATTGAAACTTTATGTAAGAACAAATCTGCTCTTTAAATTTGGTTTGTATCAATGTCCTGATCATTGATAAAGTATTTTGAGTTATAAACATATCCTCCTCCTCATCATCAATATTATTTACTAGATTGACTCAGATTAATTAAACTGGTTCCTTGAAAATCATTTTAATTTTAACCCATTTATTTATGTAAACAATAAACCGGTCTAATATAAACAAAACAACGATATCAAGATCGACGCTTTCACACTATTTACATCCAATATTCTCTAGTAATTTTGATTTTGATTTTTGGTGTTTTAACGCCACTTTTAAGCACCGCTTTCATTTGAGCTATTTCGTGGCGGTCAGTTTTTATTGGTGGATGAAGCCGGAGTGCCCGGAGAAAACCACCGACCTTCGATAGGAAAACTGACAATCCTAGTCAATTAAGATTGGAGTCGAGTACACCCGCAAGAGCGGGGTTCGAACTTACAACCTCAGTGTTGACTGGCTAGTGATTACAGTAGTAACTACTTAGACCACTCGGCCACCGAGGCCCCCTTCTCTAGTGAAAAACAGTTACCCGTAATAAATACACGGCGGAATGAAAGTACGCTTACACTTTCACAATATACTCCTTAAATTTATGGTTTTTTTTTTGTAAAAAGATTAAATCTAAGTCAAATTGAATGCAAATAGATATCAGAATATAACTTTCTATTGTTTTTCTACCTTAGAACAATTAAAAAGGAAATATTTTGAAAATATTTTTTTTCATCTCTACTTCCTTTAAATGATTAAATTTTGAATAAAAACCACCTCCACATGGAACAATGTATTAAGCTATTTATTGTTGCTATATAGCCTTAATAGACTGTAAATCATGTGGGTCTTGTATAGATTTAAATCTATGAATGGAACAAGAAGAGGGGGGTAGGGCTTGGCTGGAATTGATATAGTTTAATACATTAATATTTCAATGGCATATTTATGCAAAGAAAAATAAAATGAAAGTTTAAATTATTTTCTGTTAATACCTAACCATGTGAACATGTTTTGGAAACTGTTCGATTTAAGATATAAAAAATTTCCGCTAAATACTTAAATTTAGCTGACAAAAATTCGTACGCGTTATGACCTGAGAATTTCAGCGGGGATTCAATCAGAACACATCACATCTCAATGCCGCATTTATATTATCTGGGGCGGATGAATCTTGAAATATTTCAGGAATTAGTACTTGGAATGAAGACGCCAAAAATGCTTTTGACAAAACTGGTGGTGGTGGATAGTTGTCTCATTGGCAATCAAACTATATTTCCTTACTTTTATATTGAAGTTAAAAGCTAGTGACAAGAACTTATACGCGTAAACATGACAAGGACAATTTTAGCGGCCTCTGTGTGGACTTATCAAAGAAGACACAAAGCATTTCCTGTTAGCATGTGTGTAGTGCTCTTGAAGAAGTAAGAGAAAAACTATCTATACATAGTATAAAACAATATAGACAGGCATCCATTTCTTAAAAAATGAATAGTAAGCATGGACTTTTGTCAAATTGTTCTAAATATTTAGAGGAATAAAACAAAATATCAGTAATTCGATTTTTACTGATGTGAAATTAAGCATGGATGCAATTTGGATCGATTCAAACTCATTTTTCTATTATTCAGTATGGATTCATAATTAATAAAATGCTCCGCAGGGCGCAGCTTGATACGACCGCAGAGGTCGAACCCTGAACAGTTGGGGCAAGTATGGACACAACATTCAAGCTTGATACAGCTCTGAATTTGGATTGTGATTAAATATTTGACACAGCATAGGTTTCTGACACAGAATGAATGTGGTCTAAGAACTTAAAAATTTTATATATAAATTGGACATTCACCTATTATGGTCCAATATCCAAAATCTAAATACATGGTTAGATTCAGCATATCAAAGAACCCCAAGAATTCAATTTTTGATGAAATCAAACAAAGTTTAATTTTGGACCCTTTTGATCTCAATGTGGACAAAAATGATAACAGGGCCCAAAAATCAAAAATCTAAATACATGGTTAGATTCAGCATATCAAAGAACCCATATATTCAATTTTTGTTGAAATCAAACAAAGTTTAATTTGGACCCCAATTTGGACCAACTTGAAAACTGGGCCCATAATCAAAAATCTAAATACATGTTTAGATTCAGCATATCAAAGAACCCTAAAAATTCAATTTTTGTTAAAATCAAACTAAGTTTAATTTTGGACCCTTTGGACCTTTATGTAGACCAATTTGAAAAGGGAACCAAAAATTAAGAATCTAAATACACGGTTAGATTCGGCATATCAAAGAACTCAATAATTCAATTTTTGATGAAATCAAACAAAGTTAAATTTTGGACCCTTTGGACTTCAATGTGGACCAATTTAAAAACGGGGCCCAAAATCCAAAAACTTAATACACGGTTAGATTCAGCATATTACAGAACCCCATATATTCAATTTTTGTTGAAATCAAACAAAGTTTAATTTTGGACCCCGATTTGGACCAACTTGAAAACTGGGCCCATAATCAAAAATCTAAATACATGGTTAGATTCAGCATATCAAAGAACCCCATATATTCAATTTTTGTTGAAATCAAACAAAGTTTAATTTTGGACCCCGATTTGGACCAACTTGAAAACTGGGCCCATAATCAAAAATCTAAATACATATGGTTAGATTCAGCATATCAAAGAACCCCATATATTCAATTTTTGATGAAATCAAACAAAGTTTTATTTTGGACCCTTTTGATCTCAATGTGGACAAAGTTGATAACGGGGCCCAACAATCAAAAATCTAAATACATGGTTAGATTCAGCATATCAAAGAACCCCATATATTCAATTTTTGTTGAAATCAAACAAAGTTTAATTTTGGACCCCGATTTGGACCAACTTGAAAACTGGGCCCATAATCAAAAATCTAAATACATGGTTAGATTCAGCATATCAAAGAACCCCATATATTCAATTTTTGTTGAAATCAAACAAAGTTTAATTTTGGACCCCGATTTGGACCAACTTGAAAACTGGGCCCATAATCAAAAATCTAAATACATAGTTAGATTCAGCATATCAAAGAACCCCATATATTCAATTTTTGTTGAAATCAAACTAAGTTTAATTTTGGACCCTTTGAACCTTTATGTAGACCAATTTGAAAACAGAACCAAAAATTAAGAATCTAAATACACGGTTAGATTCGGCATATCAAAGAACCCCAATAATTCAATTTTTGATGAAATCAAACAAAGTTAAATTTTGGACCCTTTGAACCTCAATGTGGACCAATTTAAAAACGGGGCCCAAAATCCAAAAACTTAATACACGGTTAGATTCAGCATATTAAAGAACCCCAAGAATTCAAGAATAAAACCCCATTGAAATTGATCAAGAAATAAGCAATTTATACGAAGTATCTTCTTTTGCACAATACTGTGCAATTGATTATTTCTTGCTATTGCGCAATACTGTACAATTGACAATTTCTTGCTATTGCGCAATATTGTGCTATTGGATATTTCTTGCTATTGCGCAATACTGTGCAATTGAAGATTTCTTGCTATTGCGCAATACTGTGCAATTGAAGATTTCTTGCTATTGTGCAATACTGTGCAATTGAAAATTTCTTGCTATTGCACAATACTTATTATATAATAATTTACACATCCTGTTTGGTGTGTATCTCCTACCATATCATTATTATTTGCTTTTAAATATAAATCAGAAATAACCAACTTAAAATGGAAAATTTTAAAAGAAAAAAAAAAGGAAAAAAAGAAAAAAAAAAATCTCCCCCCAAAATTTTTTGAACCCCCTTATGATTCATCACCCCCAAACTCAATCTCAGCCTTCCCTTTGTGGTATGGTACCTTGCAGTACAATTTCAGAGAGATCCATACACTTGAACACAAGTTATTGTCTGGAAACTAGAAAAATGCTTATTTTTGGCCCCTTTTTGGCCCCCAATTCCTAAACGTTTCGGGCAATTACCCCCAAACTCAATTCCAGCTTTCCCTTTGTGATATGGAACCTTGTAGTACAATTTCAGAAATATCCAAACACTTACACACAAGTTATTGTCATGAAACTAGAAAAATGCTTGTTTTTTGCCCCTTTTTTGGCCCCTAATTCCTAACATTTTGAGGCAATTACCCCCAAAATCAATTACAGCCTTCCCTTTGTGATATGGAACCTTGTGGTACAATGTCAGAGAGATCCATACACTTACACACAAGTTATTGTCTGGAAGTTACAAAAATGCTTATTGTTGGCCCCTTTTTGGCCCCTAATTCCTTAACTGTTGGTACCATAACCCCCAAAATCAATCCCAACCTTCCTTTCATGGTATTGAACCTTATGGTAAAATTTCATGGAGATCCATTTACTTAAACTAAAGTTAGAGTGCGAAAACCAATGTGTCTTCGGACGACGCCGGACGACGCCGGACGACGACGACGACGACGACAACGACGACGACGACGACGCCAACGTCATACAAATATACGAACAAAAAATTTTCAATTTTTGCGGTCGTATAAAAAGGTGGAACTGTATAGTAAAAGAGATACCAAAGGGACATTCAAACATCTAAGTCGAAAATAAACTGACAACACAATGGCTCAAAAAGAAAAAGACCAAGAGACAAACAGTACACAAAACACAACATAGAAAACTAAAGACTGAGCAACACGAACCCCTCCAAACACCGGGGGTGATCTCATGTGGTCCGGAAGGGTAAGCAGATCCTGCTCCACATATAGCACCCATCGTGTTGCTCATGTAAGTACAAACCCGGTGACAAGTCTAATTCGGTAGGTCACATTCGGGGAAAAAAGGACGGGATTGTGGTTACGACAATCGGAACGTATCCGTCATCACTTGTGAAACAGATATTCCATAACGGTCTACCAATTCGTGATGGCGCGTCCGTAAAACTTACGAAGGGATGATTTCAACTTCATCACTTGGAACTCTTGGTTTACTAGCTTCATTGTGAGTAGTATAACCTTCTATCAAAGAAATCATGATAGGAAATGCAAGCTCTGGAATATCGTATCAACTGGGCGCTGCTGGTAGGACTGATGTTTTGCAACATTGTGTCTTTAAAGATTGCTGTAGCATGTGTATTCATAGACTCATCCACTTTTTAATTCTGATTTGTATCAACAACCTTACAGCCTTAATCCATTTGGAAAGTGTATCTACGTCTTCTTTCTCGCGTTTAACCCATTGTTAATAAGGATACATCTACAAAATAAACACAGAATGGAAACTTTTGTCTGGATCATAAATAAACGTAGGTGAAAAAACAGTTAGAAGAAACATTGTCACAGCACAACCATCTTAAAGAGTTCAATACGGCACTAATCGGTCGCAATCGCAAATAACATTATGCTCTCCGTTCAGTTGTATATCATACCATAGGTACTTGGGGACAGGACAAAATTTTTTTTGCCCTCCCCTCTTTCCCAAAGCCGTTTCATTTTATTTATTTTTTTTTGCCCTCCCCTCTTTCCCAAAGCCGTTATTATTTTTCTTCTGTTTAATTCCAATTATTTTTGTGTTTTGCCCTCCCCATATTTCTTCAAATGCGTTATTTTATTTTTTTGCTTTCTTTAATTTCAATTATGTTTGTGTTTTTCCTGGGACTATTAAATCATAGTATAAAAGAGGGACGAAAGATACCAGAGGGACAGTCAAACTCAAAGATCGAAAACAAACTGACAACGCCATGGCCAAAAATAAAAAGACGAACAGACAAACAATAGTACAGATGACACTACATTATAGTCGCAGGTTTTTCCCAGAAAATAAAAGAACAGAGTTCCAATGTCCCCGGCGTTGCACATATTCTATCTGTTCTGTCCAAGGGCAATAATTAAATTTTTTTTTTTTTTTTTTAAACTTATTAAAATTGTCTTACTAGAGAGTTGAAGACTTGAGAGCAATTTCCAATATATTTAATAATTCCAAGGGAAACTCATTGAAAATATTTGATCCGAGACATTGCTGTTATATTCCTTTGATATAAATTTGATAAAAATCTGGCAAAAATTGTACATGCGAGAGCACATACAATGCAAATTTCCATATACATTATATTTCTAAGGGGCATAACTCTTTTGAAAATAGTTGATCGGCACTGATTTTTGAACTCGTCTGAGACATTGCTGAAATAAACCTACAATATAAGTTTCATAAAAATCCGGAGAGAATTGTACACACGGGAGCGCTAACAATGCAATTTTCCATATAATCAATGTTTCCAAGGGGCATAGCTCTTTTAAAAATAGTTGATCAGCACTGATTTTCGAAAATTTCCGAGACATTGCTGTTATATATACCTTTGATATGAATTTGATAAAAATCTGGCAAAAATTGTACATGCGAGAGCACAAACAATGCAAATTTCCATATAATTTATATTTCCAAGGGGAATAACTCTTTTAAAATTAGTTGATCGGCACTGATTTTTGAATTCGTCTGAGACATTAATTGCTGAATAAACCTACAATATAAGTTTCATAAAAATCTGGTAAGAATTGTACATGTGAGAGGGCTAACGGTGCAATTTTCCATATAATAAAATTGAGAATGGAAATGGGGAATGTGTCAAAGAGACAACAACCCGACCACAGAACAGACAACAGCAGAAGGCCACCAACAGGTCTTCAATGCAGCGAGAAATTCCCGCACCCAGAGGCATCCTTCAGCTGGCCCCTAAACAAATATATATACTAGTTCAGTGATAATGAACGCCATACTAAACTCCAAATTGTACACAAGAAACTAAAATTAAAAATAATACAAGACTAACAAAGGCTAGAGGCTCCTGACTTGGGACAGGCGCAAAAATGCGGCGGGGTTAAACATGTTTATGAGATCTCAACCCTCCCCCTACACCCCCAGCCAATGCAGAAAAGCAAACGCATAACAATACGCACATTAAAATTCAGTTCAAGAGAAGTCCGAGTCTGATGTCAGAAGATGTAACCAAAGAAAATAAACAAAATGACAATAATACATAAATAACAACAGACTACTAGCAGTTAACTGACATGCCAGCTCCAGACTTCAATTAAACTGATTGAAAGATTATGTCTTCATCATATGAATATCAGGCACAATCCTTCCCGCTAGGGGTTTAGTATCATACCATCATAACAATGAATGTTTCCAAGGGGAATAACTCTTAAAAATAGTTGCTCGACACTGATTTTCGAACTCGTCCGAGACATTGCTGATATAAACCAAGGATTTGTATACAGTAAGATCTTACTATACAAATCCTTGTATAAACCTACAACACAAGTATTATAAAAATCTGAATTGTACATGTGAGAGCGCTAACAAGACCGGACGGACGGGGGACGCCCGATATTTCTATGTCCCCCGCAACGCGTTGAGCGGGGGACAAAAAAGTCAGGGGTTTGTGTTACTGTATGTTGTGTTAAAGCCTCCTTTCTGATGAGCACCACATTAAGATTTGGTGTACAAGTGACATTTTTAAGTTAGCACACTGTTAAAGGCACAAATTAATGTGACCATTTGCCTACCCAGTCCCCGTGCTTGGTCATGGCGTGTTTTACACCAAGAAAGTGACCCTTCCTCAAAACATCGACAATTACATTGTTATTCAGCATATGCTCATAGAGAGGAGGGTTTGACTTCATGTACACGCTCTCAGGTCAATTTTGTTTACATTTGAAAAGACCCTGTTAAAAAAATAAATTGAAGAAAAGATGAAAAAATCATTAAAAAAATAATTGTACAACAAAAAATTTTGCTAATAGGCATTGTTATTGATACATTGTTGAGAACTTTCATCAGTAACAGGAAGTAATTAAATTGAATACACATTCAAATATTCATGGGCACGAAAAGTAGTTCGAGATTTCTAACCCTGTTATATATTTTTTTGTCGTATACTAGATTATTAAAATCAAAAAGGTGTTATATTTACAAAATGTAGTCAAAATAGAACCGAAAAAAAAGCATTGGGGCTGTTTTAAAAGTCTTCTTAATTTGGTATTTTGCGGATGAATCGCGCACATAACGGTAATCCTCCAAGATGGAGGCTGTAGCAAAACACAAGTTTTCTGCAACTGCTCAGGACGAATTAAGCTTTGAAAAGGACGATATATTGAAGGTATACCAATAAGAGGTTTCATAATTGTAGTGTGTAATCTCGCAAGTAGTACACCTTTCTCAAAGGTGATAAATTCAATTCAAAACATGCACGAAGGCGTGTCATGCCAGAACTTTCTGTTTTGACTGTCTGATCAACACTTCCTGTATAAAGTCATATATGATATGCTAGATTTAAATATGAATAATACGATTTTAAAGGAATCAAATGTTTTATTCAGACCATGAAAATTTAATTGGAAATTTGGTATTCTCTCATTAAAACATTTGCTAATTCTAATGTTTTTTGTTTGATCAGAACAACAGCCTTTAACAGGTTGAGACCACTCTCCCAGTGGGGGTATTACATATTGAAAACCCACTATTTGGGTACTCTGATAACTCCCGAAAACTTATTAAAAAGAACTCGTAGGTATTACACGTAAACTCTATTTATATGGTGTAATACTGCTGACATTGATAAAGACCACAAATATTAGATATACATCACGTTTACCCAATAAATGTCAATTTAATTTCAGTAATAAGATGTTTGTGTCTTGTATAATAATATTGCTGATGTAATTTTTCAAAAGATACATAGCTCTATCTACCTTTTGAATAATTTGATCTGCCATATTGTCATGATTGATATGCATACAAGACACAAAAATCGTATTACTGAAATTAAATTGACAAGATAATTGCGATCTGTGCATGCAGGATTAATCTGACCTATTTTTATATCATCTAAATGGGGACACTATCATAAAGTAGGTTGTAAATGTCCAGTTTTCGAAATGTTGCCAATTATGGGGGTGGGGGGGTAGGCCCTTTATCGGGACTCCGGAATCGGGTGTTTTTAAGCTCGGGATTTCCGGATTGATCCTTTCAGGATCCGGGAATTCTTTTTTCGAATTTTGGGATGTCGGGATTTAAATTTTTTTTAAATTCGGGACCTCAGGATTCCACGTTTTTAAGCCCGGGATTTCAGGATCAGGACCCCTCCTACCCCCCCTCAATTATCAGTAGGATAAGTTTGTGAACAGGTTTAATTGTTCACCTGTTGCGTTTTGTCACTTGTCACCTCGTGTTTACAAATCATATTAAAATTCAAAGCCGATCCTTTATTCACACAGCGGGAGGTGTAGCAGTGCTGATCAAAACATGCGTAGGGAACCCCTATTCTAAAAAAAAAACTAGGGAAAACACTGCTTCCGACACCCTGTGATAATGCCATCTCTAGAAGGAAGGTAGGGTAGTTTTGCTACCCTGTTCCTGTCTGTCTTTCAAGTTATGAGCATACATGAAATTTATCGGTAGCTATGCCATTGGGAACATGTGGGAAAATCTGACTGATGTAGTGTTTCCTGCAGCTTTTGAAAGGGCAGGGTAATTTTTTTCTCAGATGGCACTCATAGCGCAATTGGCTACACTTAAAGGGCACCTTTTGCATGGACGACTACACTTTTAGGGCATCCTTTACATGTAGATATAAAGGCACTTTAATTGAAATATATCAATGTTTCATATATACTCGTTACAACTGGTAAGAGATAAATATTTTTTATTAGGTTATTAATTTAATTCCTTTTTATGGGGGGGGGGGATTAAGTTTTACCCTTGTCCGTCTGTATGTACGTCCCAAAATTGGTTTCCGTTCTCTAACTTGAGTTTGCCTCAACCAAATGTTATGAAACTTATATACAATGCTTATTACCACTAAACACAGATCAAGTTTGAATTTTGGTGGCGTCACTTTAACCGTTCTAGAGTAATGCCCCTTTATAAATGGAAAAATTGCAAAATTTTTAGTTTCCGTTCTCTAACTTAAGTTTGCCTCAACCAAATGTTATGAAACTTATACACAATGCTTATTACCACAACACAAAGATCAAGTTTGAATTTTGGTGGCGTCACTTTAACCGTTCTAAAGTTATGCCCCTTTATAAATGGAAATATTGCAAAATTTTTAGTTTCCGTTCTCTAACTTAAGTTTGCCTCAACAAAATGTTATGAAACTGATACACAATGCTTATTACCACAAAACACAGATCAAATTGAATTTTGGTAGCGTCACTTTAAGCATTCTAGAGTTATGCCCCTTTATAAATGGAAAAATTGCAAAAAAATTTATTTTCTTCTAAATATCAAATAATTTTTTAAATTATAGTTATCTTCCTTTGTCCATGATTATAGTTGAATCAACTACAATCAATGCTTTATACAATGCAATGTTTAATTTTGACTTCCACTGATAAAACACAGATCAAGTTGAATTTGGGTAGTGTCACTTTAACAATTATTGGGTTATGCCCCTTTATAAATCGAAAGATTGCAAAATTTTTAGTTTCCATTCTGTAACTTAAGTTTGCCCCAACCAAACATTATGAAACCTATACACAATATTCATTACCACAAAACTAAGATCAAGTACACATTTTTTGTTTCCGTTTTCTAACTTTAGTTTGCCTCAACCAAATGTTATGAAACTTATACACAATGCTTATTACTACATAATACAGATTAAGTACGAAATTTGGTGGCGACACTTTTACCATTCTTGAGTTATGTCCCTTTGTAAACATGAAAATTGCTGAATTTTTCGTTTCCGTTCTCTAGCTTTAGTTTGTCTCAACCAAATGTTATAAAACTTATACACAACCGTTCTAGAGTTATGCGTGTTAACAAATAGAAAAATTGCTGAATTTTTAGTTTCTGTTCTCTACTTAAGTTAGCCTCAACCAAATGTTATGAGACTTACACACAATGCTTATTACCACAAAACTCAGATCAAGTTCAAATTTGGGTAGCATCACTTTTATTGTTCTTCAGTTATTTGTAATAAAATTATTACTTCTTGACTCAGCCAATAGAATCTTGATAGTGCAATTGCCTCATTTTAATCAATAACTCCAATTATAAACTTTAATTCTGGATCTCTGATCGTCAAAGAATGTGTTGTGAAAGTATCAAGATTTACATGACCAAGAGCATATGCATTGCTTTTGAGCTGCGCGAACAAATTAGTGTCAAATTCTGTTTCAATCTGACATGTTTATACCAATCAAAGCTACCATTATCAGGATCATAACTGTACAATTCTTTTTGGGTCATTCATCTTTTTTATGCCCCCGCCGTAGCGGAGGGGGCATTAAGTTTTAACCTTGTCCGTTTGTACGTCCAAAAGTTGGTTTCCGTTCTCTAACTTTAGTTTGTCTCAATCAAATGTTATGAAACTTGTACACAATGCTTATTTACACAAAACACAGATCAAGTTTGAATTTTGGTGGCGTCACTTTAACGGTTCTAGAGTTATGCCTCTTTACAAACGGAAAAATTGCTGAATTTTTAGTTTACAGTTCTCTAACTTTAGTTTGCCTCAACCAAATGCTATAAAACTTATACACAATGCTTATTACCACAAAATACAGATCAAATTTAAATTTTGGTGGTGTCACTTTTATTGTTCTAGAGTTAGGCCCCTAAACAAATGGAAAAATTGCTGAATTTTTTGTTTCCGTTCTCTAATTTAAGTTTGCCTCAACCAAATTTTATGTAACTTATACACAATTCTTTTTACCACAAAACTCAGATCATGTAAAAATTTGGGTAGAGTCACTTTTACTGTTCTTGAGTTATGTCCCTTTATAACTTTATATGATATGCAAGCGGGGGTGTCATTTGTGTCCCATGGACACATTCCCCATTTATTTTTATGCCCCCGTGGTAGCGGAGGGGGTTTTAAGTTTTACCCTTGTCCGTCCGTACGTCCCAATGTTGGTTTCTGTTCTCTAACTTTAGTTTGTCTCAATCAAATGTTATGAAACTTGTACACAATACTTATTACCACAAAACACAGATCAAGTAAGAATTTTGGTGGCGTTACTTTAACCGTTCTAGAATCATGCCCCTTAACAAATGGAAAAATTGCTGAATTTTTTGTTTCTGTTCTCTTTACTTAAGTTAGCCTCAACCAAATGTTATGAAACTTATACACAATGCTAATTACAAAAAAATACAGATCAAGTTTGAATTTTGGTAGCGACACTTCTACTGTTCTTCAGTTATGTTGCTTTATAACATCAGCCCTCAATTTAGTCTACTGAAATGGTTGCCTGGGCGACTTTAAAATCTGATTGGTGACCAAAAATTCATAACTGGTCGCTTAGGCTATTAGAATATTGAAAATCTGGCGAACGTAAATTTTCAGAACGTTTGCCCTGATCAGAGTCGGGTTTTAAAAAATCGTCTGAGCGCTTGACAGTATCACAAATTTTACTGTATTTCAAGCGCCTTTTAGATTTAAGCTTGATCTTGTCAGTGCTTTTTTGCATCAGGTACTTGTAGTTCATTTGTAAGCAATTTGTTGTCGTTGACTTACTGACAGGATTTATATATATATTTATCCTCGTATTTCCGCACTCAGTCACAACTTGGACTATTACGTGCCGTTCAGAAGAAAACCATTGGCATTTATAGATTGTGTTTATTGAAAGCACATGGTCGAGCTTCGTTCTTGATTTCGTCAGTAAACGGATGGAAACAAGGTCGGAGACAATTTTGTAACTTGTTCTCATAGATTCAATAAAATACTGGCTACAATTTAGCAAACGATTTCAGATGTTCACTTGACCAATAGGGCAATCACCAGTGCTTCTACACAAATCGGATGAGATTTTTACTAGACTTGGGCTTTGGGCTACCGCTGAATGTCGCAGACTGTTTTAAAACATGTACAATGTCAATGAATATAATATCAAATAAATCATGTGGTTTTTATACGACCGCAAAAAATTTTTTGGGATCGTATAATGGTATGATGTCTGCGCTGTCGTCCGAAGACACATTGGTTTCCAGACAATAACTTTAGTTTAAGTGAATGGATCTCTATGAAATTTTTTAAGAACGTTCAAATACCACAAAAGGAGGGTTGGGATTGATTATGGGGGTGATGGTCCCAACCGTTTAGGAATTCAGGACCCAAAAAGGGGCCCAAAACAAGCATTTTTCTAGTTTCAG